TCTTATATAAAGAAATTTTATTTATGAATAACATCTCCTATTATCACATTAATATTTGGATAAGCTCCATATAAATCTTTTTTTAAATTTTTTTCCAATCTTATCATCCATAAATGTTCAATATTAATAGGTCATTTTGTTTTTTTTTAATCATACAAAGAATGAAAATTTCACAAATAATATTTAAAAAACTTGAGGAAAAGAGTCAATCATCAAGAATATTAATAAGACAAAAATTGGAACCAATGGAAGGTATAGTGCATAGGTGCATATGGTATAATAGCATAGATCATTCAAGAAGGGAATATAAAGTTTTTATAGAGGCATTATGCAAAAGAGTTATTTTTTTCAAAGATGGTATGATATACTTAAAAAAAAATAGAGAAAAATTAGACACAAACTTTAATAAAGGAAGGATGATGATGCTTATAAAGAAAGCATTCAAAATCTGAATCAAAAAAACATCAATATATTAGGTGGGAACAAATCCTAACAAATGTTTAAGTATAAATCTTGAATTTTTTTTAAAAATCTAGTTCTTTGTGGTCAAATGCAATAAACTGTGATTAAAAAAAAATATTAGGGATGATTTAAAATATATTTGCAATAATATTTGACAAATTATTGGGTGGAATGATTCAATAGATGGATTATCAATGCATGCTCATATTGCAAGATTCAACATGAGGCATTAATAGAAGAAGAATAAAATAGAGATAAAAATCATGAAGGGCCATAAAAAAAAACTACAAGAAGAGAAAAAGTACAAAAACAAAAGAATCCTATGTATAAAGATACAATAGAGAATATTCCTATAAAAGAAAGAAAAATTGGAAAAATATCAAAAGATCCTACTTATAAATTATAATTAGCAATTGAAGTTGCTATAGACTTGAAGAAAGTATTAGAGGAGTATATTTTAAGTAAAAAGATTGAATTCAATTGGTGAAATCCTAAGAATTACAAATTATAAATTTTATGAAATTATTATTGATATAATAAAGTAAAAACAACAATTTATAGGAGATACTATGACATCAAATGCAAAAGAAACAAGAATAATAGAAAGCAATGAAGATGAAGATAATGAAATGTAATTTTTTGGAGATGCTTCACAAATAAGATTTATAGAAAAAAAAAATGTATAATACAAGCTTCTAGTCATTATTCTAGAAATTATTACGCAAGGGCTATTATGAAAACTTTAATAAAATTAGAAAAATTAAAAGAATCAATTATAGCATTAATTGATTATAACTAAAAAATCAATTTGATATTAAAAGAATTATATAAAAGAAAAAAAATGACTTGTTAATATTGAATATGGATAGATGATAAAAAAAAAAAAAAAAAAAAAATTCAAAAGAAGATTTGTATAGAACTTACCCAAATATCAAGGTGATGATAGGAGATATTATTCATGGACAAAAAAAATTTGTACAAGATATATCTACAAACTCTATTATATTGGAACAATCATATATTATTGCTACACAAATAAAAACAAAGGTAATGGATGATGGTTCAGCATATGCAAGAATAAGAAGTTAAGAAGGCAGTGCAATTTTTAATAGTTTGTGCAAATCATAAAAGAAATCGAGGTAATTTGAAGAAGTATTCTTTGCCAAGGATATACAAAGAATTTAAAGATCTTGATGATTTAAAGAATTTTTACTAGAGTACACTGTAAAGCGGATTGCAATGGTAAATGATGTGATGGCTTTCCATTGTCATATTATGTGAAGTCTCACTTCAATATGCATTGAGTACATGGCTCTAAAAGATAAAAGAAAATTGCAACATGTAATTCCCATTAATGCATCTTAATTGATAAATTGATTAAAACCATAGTTTTAAATTATTTCATTACATATATATTAAGGTTAACAAATCTTTTTGATTATTCAAGTATTTATTAGAATTCAAAAGTATTTATAAGTTATAAAATTCTTATTAGAAGAAATTTTATAAAAATAGAGTCTTAATAAGTCTTGGAGTCAATTATCTTAGTTGATTTAGTATTTTTATTTATTGTTAAATATTGAAGATTAGTTATTGAGATCAATATCTTTGTTAGTCATTTATCTATATGTATTACTTATAAAAATCCTATCAATGATTAATTAGTAGTTAAAAGAAGCATAAAAAAGAACTTCATGTCTTTTTAATTAATTATATAAAAAATGTTATTTTTGTAAATTTAAATTGATTTTATTAATATAAAAATTTTAATTAATAAAAATAAAAAATATAGCCTTAAATAGATATAAATATTATAAAAATATTATAATATTTTTTAATATTTATTTAAATTTTATTTAGAATCACTTAAGAATTTTTAGATGAAATTTCAAGACTTTGGTAAAATTAAGTTTTACCACCTTGGGAGCCATTATGAAAAAATGGAATAAGATTTGAAGGCCATGCAAGATTTTTAGGCTTTTTGAATTTTTTTAAACAATAAGGTGAAGTCGAAAATATAAAATTATGAGTTTTATTAATAGATAATAGGGAGACTAGCAACTAATCGAGTTCTTATTGAAATAGAGGTGCAAAAGTCCTATATGGATTGTAGGACCTTAAATAGAGTTGGTAGGATAAGACTAAGGTCTTGTGGCCTCTCTTAAAATCCATATACACTTGGTGAGACTTGGTGAGGCTCGAATCCTTGATCTATAAGCAAATTATCCTTGAAGTAAATTATTTTTACTTAATTTTTAAATTATTCACTTCTTATCCTTAAACTTTCATAACTTATTCGTAGTAATTTGAATTTACATGTTTCTTTTGTTATTGAAAAGATAATAAAATTATCTATCTTAAAATATAATTTTTGATAATTACTTTCATATTTTATTAGATAAAAACTTAGTGAATAGACTATGGACTACTTTTGTTGTAAACAATTATTTGATTGCACTTATTTCACTTATTTTGTATTATTCTTTTTTTTTTTTTATTTATTAAATCTTTCACTTCATATTACTAATTACAAGCAATTCTTAATTGAGTCCATCTTATAATTTGGATTAAAAGAGAAATTTACTCTCACACAACAATAAGTCTTAACAATTCTAATAGAATCAAATATAAATTATAATTAAAGCTTAATAAATATAATCAAACATTAATCAAGTCTAATTAAATTTTAAAATAAATTATAAAAGAAACACAAAGAAATTCAAAATAAATCCTAATTAAATTTTAATCAAATCTTAGACAAAACTTAATCAAATCCTAATTAAATCCTAAATCTTAAACAAATTCTTAATAAAGCCTACAATAGATTGAAACCTTGATAACTAACAATCAAGCCATTGATTTCAATTCAAATTTTGCATGCCTTTCAATAAATAAGCTCACAAAAAGTACAAATACTTTTAAGGGGATTAAACTTATCAAATAAAACTTAAATCCTAAAATCTGCTTGGATGTTGGCTAGCATTCTTTTCTAAACTTGATGTCAATTTCTCAAGCCAAAAGCTATTAATTCCATTGTTAAATACCTTTCAAAATTCACTATTTTTTAAAAAATTAAGTCTACTACTTACATACAAATTTTACCTTAATTCAATTGGCAAATTATTAAAGATCTTAGAAACCTTTATTGACCTTCAAAATCCCATTTTTGAGGCCTCAATTTACTTGAACTTCAATAACCTTCAATCTAACCATTCAATCATGCTCAAATTTATAGCACATAATAAGAACACCTATAATTACAAATCTACAAATTTTCACTTGTAGATCTACTATCAAATTTATAAAATTCTCTCAAATGTAAATCCTTTATTAACTTCACAAAATCAGATTTATGGAAAATAATCCTAATTTTGCAAAGCTTTTACAAAGTCATTACAAATTCAAATTATCCAAAACCAATGCTTAAAAAAACTTTATGAAGTCTTCTCTCAAATTGTACTCTTTAATTTGCAAAAGAACTTTGGAATCATCATAGGTGTGTGGTTTTGTGCTTGAGGGTCTGATTTTGATCCAAGTTAGCAACCAATTCTTTTCAAGTATCAATTCTTGTTTTTTTTAAGATAATTTTTACTAAAATCAACTCTTAATTCCCTTATATATATGTCTATATCTTTTGTTTTTCTAGTCTACTTTGTTTTGACTTATTTATGGTCCTACAAAATAAATAGAAGCTCATTTTGTAAAATGGTAGTATTTGCACTTTTAATTTTACTATCCTTTGACTATTATCTATATTTTTAAGATAATTTTCTATAATATTATAAAATAAGATCTTTTATAATATAATATTTTTTTACTCTTTCACCTATTAGTTGTGTTACATCACCATAGTGCCACATGGTTAACTTGTTCCACAAGCTACCAATATGTGTGATATGTGATTAATTTTTTGACCAAATTTCTAATCTACCAATGAACTACAAACACATATTAAGTCAAAACTGCATCTATGAAGATTTTAAGAAGCTTCTCTAGAAGATGTTATGAAATTATTTTATTTTTACCTATTTTTATCTAATCATATAGGTAATTATTGGAGTAAATATGTATGTCAGTGACATAACAATAAATCAATATATTTTATATAAGATATACAAAAATTTAATTTATTCACAAAATTAAAATAAATATACACATTTTTTAAAAATTATAAATTTTTATATATTTATTGCTACTAAAAATTACATCATCTATTTAATTATTATATTTATTTATTCTTTGCATACTTTATTTTCAAAAAAAGCCTTACAATTATTTTAGTATTTTTTAATATGTAATATTAATGAAATGTATGCTCTCTTATAAAGCCCTTGGTACCTTCCCAAATTCTTCTTCTTTTGTTCTAACATTGAATATTCTTTCCACTTCATATTCAAAACGTTTCTACACAAAATCCAATGGTAATTGAAATACATGCTTGTAATGTAATTGACAACATTGTATTGCCAATAATAGGACATAAAATTTTGAACATATTGAAAAGTTGGATAAAAATTGTAACATATTAGCAGCAAATGTAGAATCAATCTTGCTAACTTTGCAATCTTAACCTTCAAAATGAAGTGAGTGTGCTGAGTTTGTTGAGCAATCACTGCTCGCAGCAACATTCTTTGCACTTATCACCGCATTACCAATTAATCTCATTCATTGTAACTCAATTAATCCTCTAAAGTGGGGAAGCATCAATGGGAACGCATGGCACGATTGCAACAGCAATCGTTCAGCTTCAAGCTGTCGTTCCATCACTCACTTATATCCGCAAGTTAGTAATCTCTACTCACTGAAATTGCGGCAAAAATGTCAGGCATGAAACCAGATAGGGGATGAGGATTCAGGATTGGAAGATATGCCTGATAAGAAAGGAGCCTAAAATGGTGAAGACATTGGAACCCGCACAACATTGAGTGAGCGTTGCAGATTATTCTGTTACTAATAAAGTCTGTATAAAACCTAACTGTGAAGAATTGCTCCGGAATTGTTCCGGAATTGTTCAGAGTCTACGAGGATTCGCCGAGGGTGAACTCGTCTCAGAAACTACCCTAGCATCCATAGAAATTGGCTAGGAGATCATCCTCTCTGTGCCTGGAGAATTAGCACGATAACAGACGTTCTGTTTGCAAAAAGCAAGAAGAAGGCAGATTGCGAAGCAGATGCCGTGGCAGAAGATGATGAAGAAGTACCAAGCGGGAGCGTAGGGCGTGTCAACGTTCATGAACGGGTAGGGCCAGTAATGCACAATCCCAGCGCTGTGACAAATCCACTGGAAGGAAACGTAAGCGGTGCTCCATAGAATAAAGTAGCTGACGCGGAACCATGGGAAACGAAGGCTGTTCAAGGAGAATTCGATTATGAGGATGACGAGGTTGATGGCATGCTTGTTGATGTCGATGAAAGAGTGCTGCCAGTTCGGAGGTAGAAACACGGGCACCAAGAAGCCCCAGTAGATTAAGTCTGTGAGCACTGCAGCAGGCAAGACTGCTTGAAATACGCACTGAGTGACGTAGCCTTCCACACTTGCTTCTACTTGGGTCTCCTGCCCTCTTGCGAACGGCACTTCTGGTGCAGTTTCTTGTTCAGGTTGGATTAAGAATTTGTCCATGGCACCTCCATTTAATGGTTCAGTAAGGCTACTATCGTCAGGGTGGACTGAGGTCGTTGGAAGCGTGCTCCGGCTCACGGTAGCCATGGAACGCCCCTCAAGGTAATGCAATAAACTTTGCCGAAATGCAAGTGCAAAGTAGACAACAAGCAAAGTGAACGTCCATTCCGTGTAAAAGAACAGAACCACAAGATTTCTCCGGAAGGTGTTGTACCCGAGGAATGACAGAAGGTATATTAAACAGAGACCTCGAAAGAAAAGCAAGTAATTCGGGTTCACAGCTCCACCACAAGCGTTCCAAAGTTCCTCTCGGCGCAAATAACCGATTGGTACACGTGCAACTGAATAAGGATCCTCGACCTTATCTGACCGTGAAATCGAAACTTTCACGCCCTCGTACCTCCGCAACAAAACTACAGCTCCGATCGCGAAAACCGACACAAGGGTGACGCAAACCGCAAATGGCCAGTGGTACTCCATGTCCTCAACGAATCCACCACCAAAAAAAAAACGGCGATCACGCCAAATTCGACTCAATCTTCCACAAGCCACCGTCACGTACACTCCATCGCCAAGCTCCTCACCGCACAGCAGATGCGGACCCGAAGCGCAAAATTAAGCAACGCTTCATAGCCTCGTCGAGGTCGAGTTCCACGAAGGCAAACGGAGCTGAAAAACGTGCCTAGCACGCCTCGGGCTTCCCAGCGCGATGCCATCGTCATCACGAGGGGATTGTGTGATGCATCGACACAGGATGCGAAGGTCGTCCACATCCAGAAAAAAAGAGGCTTCCTTTGTCGAGACAACTTCGTCGCAGCATCCCTTCGTCGTCGTAGTGTCCGAGGAAACCAAAGCCATATAAATAGGAAAATCATTCTCCGCATTCAAAAATTGCGTTGTAATTTTCTAGTTGCAAAAACATAATCCCGGGGTTTCGACCGATCCCTCAGAGACAAGTGTAGATACTGCAAGCTTCCGCGACGCCGCCATATCCGTTACAACTCCCGCAAACTTTCCTTGGCCTCAGATGGCTTTGGTAGAAAACCACAGGCCACCCCGTAGCCGTGGATGAATGTGATTTGCACGATCGTCCATTCATTCACCAGTTCATTCATCCGTACATCTAGGGTCTCATTTTTGTTTATACTTGTATTTAATTTGACTGTATACAGCCAGATAGTATGGTATTTATTGTTGTGACACACGAGGTCTCAAGATTGATTCGTTGCACTAATAGAAATCCTGTCTATTTAACTATATTCTATTGCATATTAAGTGTTATATATATATATATATACTAAGACAAAGTGTCTTCATTTGGAACTCATGGATAAAGAAGGCAAATAGGTTGTGGAAGAATAAGTATTTAGTTAGTATCTTAATAGAAAATCCAAATGGCTTCAAGTATTGAACTATTTTAGTAAATCCTAAATCTTGAATTGTGTCTAATTATCCAAGAATGATTTTGTCTTTTTATTTGAAATGCAAATGGACAAGCCAAAAACTTTAAAGTATGCTTAAATTCTTAAAGTACTTAAACATCTACATATATCCATATATTTATATATATATATATATATATATATATATATATATCTAAATTTTATTAGAGCCATAATACTAAAAAGATATAATAAACAGAAAATATAATTAAAAATGATTAAATAAGATTAAATACCATTTAATAATAATTATTATTTTAAAATTAGTAAGTGTGTTAATTTTAAATAATTAAATAAGTATTTTAAAAATAAAAGTGAGTATTTTTAGATTTAAATATATTATTTTTATATTTAAAAATAAAATTGAGTATTTTTAGATTTAAATATGTTATTTTTATATTTAAAAATAATAATATGATTTTTAAAAAATTGATAATTTTTTTTTTCACAAGGATCCTATCTATATTTATTCTTGCTATGTTTAAAGGTCATATCTGTGTTGATTTTTGTTATAATTGGTATATGTTTAAATAGTTGATATCGATTATTTTGAAGTGTTATTAGTACAATTTTAAAAATAGTAATACTGTACATTGACATAACAATATAAAATATAAAATTCATTAACGTTTATGCAATTTTTTATGTCTTTATAATCTCATATATTAAATGAAATGGATTTTATCTTGTTCTTTCATTGCTAGTTTTATGTTTCTAAATCATATTCTTTTTTAATAATAAATTTCTACTCATTGCAGCCACATGTAAAATGATCATTAATATACATTTATTAAAATCATATATTAGTTAATATAAAATTCAAATCTAAAAAGATTTTTTTTACCACATTGGAGCATTTGATTTAATAAAATTTCACCTCTCCAAAATCACTTATAACTTTTATCATCTAGAAATCAAATATACGTTACAATTGACGCTCATACCATAAAAACACTTTTTTCCTTTTTTTCACTTTGTAGTAAAGATTTCTTCAAATTTTATTCCAAAGATTTTGGGCATGGAAGTTTATCTTAAATCAAATGCTTCAGAAGGCATTTCTTATGACTCTTGAGTTAAGACATTAACTTAAAAAATAATCACATCAATATGTGCTACTGGCACATGTTACTACACTAAATTTCACAAGCAAAAATCTGAATGGTTTCATAACTTCACACATAGTTACTATTTTATTTTTAACTTTATTTTTATATTATTAATCCAACAATCTATCACATTAAAAAATCCACCAAAACACTCCATTCTGTAGAAAACGCTCTAAATTTTTTTTACGAAAATCCATTAAATTTGAACAAAAAGAAAAAGAAATTAATTGATCAAGTATTAACACAGTATTAAACCAAGTTCAACCTTACCAAACACACATCGCGGTTCATCTTTTTTGCAGAGAGTCCCAAAGCTTTCGTTGCAAATTTACTTTTACGCAAAAGGTAGCTTTTATTCACCATTGAGTAACTTTATTGAATGTTGCTTTTATAAAAAAAACCAGTGAGGGTGGTCTGAAGGGGCTCCGATGACGAAGAAGAAGAAGCCACTTACGACGAGGACCCACCACCAATAAATCAATGGCGATGGCCGTGTGGCTTCGAGGGGAGGGCGTCCATTCGATGACAAAGGCCTTGCTCCGCAGGAAATTCACACACAACCCATATTCCAGTGGAAGAAACGGAGGACAAGGATTTTGAATATTCCCGTTTTTAGCACGTCTCGGGAATGGCTCCTGCCCCAATCCTACCTCCTTTGCCATAGTCATCAAATTGGGCCGCACTTTGTTGTACCCTGATCATCGCTCGAAGATCGCTCTTGCTTCTTCAACTCAACGCCCAGTTTTGCGTGCGACTCTCCAACCCCTTGCCTCAGTTGTTTGTTGGATTCCTCTTTCGCTGCTGCGCTGCGTGGGTCGGTCGTTTGAGGTTTGGCTGTGTGTGTGTGTGTGTTTTGGGTAGGTTGTGTGCTGTGGCGTGAGTTTGGGAGGGTTCTACTGTGGGTTTGCCATCTTACATCTTAACTGAGTGTGGAAATTGAGTTTGAACTTTTTCCTCCCGATTCGGGTGGTTGTGGTGTGAATATCTGATCAACTGGTTCGCATTTCTTTGGTTCGTCTGTGGGGTCTTTGTTGATATGGCAGGAGTGCAGTCACTAGCCAGAAAATGAAAGCCACTTCCGACTAGCCAATTGAGTTTAGGTGTAAGTATTGACAAGAATTTCGGGTTTATCTAGTCGGGACTTACCTTTGTATTACTTTTTGATTGGTGCAAGGGCCCCTCACGATCCAAATAGTCCATTGTTCTCCTTTCGTTTTCCATCTCTAAGGATTTTGTAGAAGGCGTGCGTTTGGTGCTGCACTGGATAGTGTGAATTCAGGCTATTACAGGATCGGGATAATTGCTTGCAATGGTGCTCAATAGTTGGACGGTTTATCTAAGACTCCAATTAAAGGCTGGGTGGGGGTTCTGTAGGTCTTCTACGCCGATTCTATGTGTATCGTGGAAAGAATCTTTAAGGAAGTCCAAATGGTAATGGAATTTTCTGAACGCATAAACGGATGGATCAGAGATTGGGAATTCAATTTTTTTGATGCGTCCAATTTCACTCCCGGTCAATTGAAACCAGACCTGCGATTAAGGCTTGAGTTACATTATACTGGAAGCGCGCTTTCCCTTCTGATTAGCTTGTTATTATTCTTTGCCTGATCTTAAGAGATATTGATGTCATTGCATACACAAATTTGGATTTAATTTGGTTTCAAACATGTGTAGTATTTTCATTCAAACTGGTAGCCGATATTCTTCACTTCCAATCACTCATCATCTGATTTAATGATGGAAATACTTGCTAACTCGTCCTAAGGCGGTTGAAGCACCTTCTATATTTGCAGAATGGTTCTTGGATTCTTGGTATCTTGAGCATTTTTATATCTCTCTAACGTAAAATTTTGATGATGTTAATCTGTGAGTTGTATGTTTTTGATGAATCAGTTGAATGTGTAGCCCCAACTCACAACTTTTCTCACTGCACTGCATGGCTTCTCTCAGGTCTTGAAGTTGAACGGAAAGGATGAGGTGAACTATGGGGCTTGATTAAACTTTCATGAAGACAATTTAGTGCGACCTTGCTTCAGAAATACGAAAATGGGGTGTCAAGGTTGGATATGGGTGGTCGTCGCCTTAGTGTTATCCAGCAGCGTGATGACGACTGCTAAATTTAATCCTCATGTGTCTCCTCTGCTTAATGCGGGTAAAGGTCCTGCTTCCTTAGTTAATTGGCCTTTGTCGAATTCATGTGGTGTCACAGCTGCTGTGAATCCCTGTTGGGGTAGGATGGGAGTTGATCAACACTGCTAAAGCCGAAGTCCCATGTCTTTTAGCCAGACTCGTTTTATGCTTTTTGTAACAATATAAAGTGTTTTATTTATTTCAGATGAATTGTTGACTGTGGCGTTTTCTTATAGTGGGATGTAAATTGTTTTTTTATGCAGAATGGAAAAATATGAATGATATTGGAAAATTATTGGCGCAGGCTGTTCATCTTCCCTTGCATTCACAGAAAATGCTGCTAAAAGAGATTGGAAGTATTTACGCAAAAACGGGTGAAGGACGCTGTAATATCTTTGGAGGTCCGGCATCTTGTGAACCTATCCCCAAAGATACTGAATACGCAAGAAATTGTGCTGACGCCAATGAGAATGTAGATTGTGCATTCAAAATGACAGCCTTTGAACACATTTCAAGAGATCCTAAAGAGCACTTTCAAAAGAAGGTTGAAGGAGAAGGTAATGTTACGTTCGAACAAAAAGATAAGGTGTGAAAGTTCACTCATTCTTTGAGGTGCTGAATCTTATGGGCCATGTATTGTGTCATTGGGTGATCTTATCATTTGCTTTTGCCAACAACTGTTAATCACATGTGGTGATATCATGCAGCATAAAATTGAAATCTGCACTTCATTTGTAATTTTTTTCGGTAGCTTACATGATCATGGAAACCATCTATTGGTTGATGCTCCTATGAAGTGAAATGGTTCTCATGGCTTTAATGGAATTTTTTTCGACCAGGTTTGACTGCTTGTCCTGAATGCTACAAGAACATGCATCATTTTTGGTGTGGTCAAGTTGTACCAGCGTGTGGCACGTTCGACAAGGTCATTGATGAGATTCTGGTAAGTGTCCTTCTTTTGACGCATTCTGATACTTGTTTGTAATAGTAACCGCTTTGCAACTGTCATTGTTTTATTCTTATATCTGTCTGGCCTGCATGCATTTCTTGTCTTAGTATTTTGAATGATTATGTTCATGTTTTCTGGGCTTTCATTCACCTAGTCGGAGTAAGGATTTAACTGTTAAGCAGGCAGGGTGAGCAACTAATCTTGTAAATGTGACTTTTACTTTTTTGAAGCCCATGTTGACATCTGTTGCTGAGAAGAAGGAGAAACCGTCGGTTGCACTTCAACAGGCAGTGCCTCGCATTTTGCAATCTGCCAGCTTGGGTCTTCCTTGCAAGCAAATGTGTAACGCTATCACGACTACATGTGGATGTGGCCAAGCAGCTACATTTGGTGAAGTATGTGGACTTTTCTCTTGTTTTTTTTGTCAAGTTTGAGATTAAATGTGGAAGGGAAACCTTTAGATTTAGAGGGTTGGATGTCTTTGTTATAGTGGCTACTTTTACCAAAGTATGCAGAGCAATAAGCGCAATATACTGAATGTTTGAGCAACATGCGATGGTCAATACAATTTATGTTCTTGGTAAAGACGGTGGAAACCACTTTGGGTGTTTACGACTGTGAAGGAATTTAAACCATTGGATGACTTTGCAGGTGATGGAGTCGATTCAAAGCAGTAAACATCAGGATTTATACAGTACAAACATGTCCCTGTCAACAGCCAAAGATATCTTTCAGAGGGTTTGGAATAAGCCTGTCTGCGAACTGTTTTCAGATAAAGATACTCCTGGTTTTTCCGGTGTATGTGAAGTACCAGCGTCCTTGAATCAGTGCTCCTGGTGCGAAGGCAAAGCTGCACGACCCCAGTTTGTTCATCAGCAAATCGTCGCCCAATCGGCTCAAAGTATCTCCGGTCTGATGCAAGTAAGTTCTACCGTCTAATCGTGCATTGAGACTATCTTCTCAGAGTAGTCGAAGAGTCACCCAGCAGAAATTTGTAAATGTAGCTGTGTAGGTATGACATACATTCCAACTGTCTTTTACAGGGTGGCTTGGAGGAGATTCTGCTTGCTATAGGTGGTGAGAAGGTGAAGAGTACTCCCATTTGGAGCTGGACACATGGCGACGATGGTCCCCAAAAAAGTCGAGGTCACTCTGGCCCGTGGGTAGTTCTTATATTTCTCATCTTCATTGCTGCCGGTGCTTTTATTGCAGCTGTGAGGATTCAGCGCAACCGGCAGAATCCATCCCAGTATGTGGACCTCAATAGCATGGGCTACACTCCACCAATTTTGTGAAACTGCGTTGGATGGGTTCATTTAGTTTTGTTGTGCGTTCTAGCTCATTTGTAGCAACCACTCTTGTTTCAGATTGGCTGTCGGATTTATCCAGTTTTCCCCTGTTTTGTTCTGAAAGATTACTTTGTTTTTGAGGGTGTTAAACAGGATCAGGAAAATATACATGCATAGTCTAGGTATGTTCTGTAACTATCCAGTTTTTATATATCAAACAAAAACGCTGATTGTACTTAAGTTGTTGACTCCATCAAAAAATTTGGTTCAGCTGTTCTTTTTATTTTCTTTCCTTTCTATTTTTCGTTCTTTTTCCCACTTATTTTGGTTTTAGTTTTCTGTTTTTGCGATGAGTGAAAGTTTGTATGCGTTTACGAACATTTTATCTGATTTGTTACTACTGCGGGCTCTCTATGTAATTAAGTTTTTTCTTTGATTTGTTCAATTTAAAAAAAATTAAATTAAAAATATATTCTTCTATGGGCAATAAAATTCATGATTTTTTTTAATTCACTGTTCACGAAGGAATGAAATTTCTCTGTTCATCGAAGTTCAGTTGAAAGGACTTTGAGGATGAGTTTTGAAAGTCATTCATACATACGAGGAAGTAACTTGATATCTCTACAAGAATGTATGTTTGTTTGAAGAGGAGAATTGTTAAAATAATGCTCATAGGTATTTTTTTGCGCGCATGAATGGATGGTTTGTAGTGGTTCAAAGTAAATAGTGACGTTTAAAAAACAAATTAGGATTCTGTCGTAAAAAGATTTATGAAGTACATTGTTATATTTTTGGATGATTAAGCTTTTAAAAAACCATAGCATTGAAATAAGCTATGAGCTACAAAAGATTATATAAGAAACTATTTGCATGAATATATAAAAATTAGGTCAATGCATATTTCTAATAATAAAATAAGTGAATTTTGCATAAAAAGAGAATTTTAATTTATTCTGTTTTTGAGCATATCCAATTTTGTTTTGAATGACGAAAAGGTCAACAATCTTAAAATACTCATATAATTCGGTTATATTTTTGAGTAAATCAAATGTTTGCCAAATTTTTGTGTCACTTTTAATAAGATTTCCGAAAATTAAGTATTTAGAATTAAAAATATTAAAACATGTCTTTTGTATTATTTTATTGTATTCTAATTTTTTATTGAGGTTAATTTATTTTTTAAAGAAACTCAAAAATAGTCCAAAATAAACAATTTCGAGCAATTGTAATAATCATGATTTTTAAAGTATATAAATAATTAAATAATTTTCTTTTTAATAATTTAAAAAATAAATGAAACAAATGTATGTCTTTTGTATTATTTACCATTTGTATTCAAATTTTATGGCAAGAAAAAAATATTCTTGTATTTTAATAAAAGTTGTTCATTTCCATGAATTCAATATTTGGGACAAGCAACCTTATGAATATTATACAATTTTTCAATTTCTTTAATTTTATTGTTTATAAATAACACAATAAAAGCATGAACTATTTAAATAATTCCAATACAAAAGAAAAAAAAAATGACATCTATGTTGAATTGTGGGTAATAAAATAGATAAAAATATCAAAAACATACCATAAATACTACCTTGTTTCATTTATATCATATTTGTCAAAACTCAAAATTCACCCATAAAGCTACAAGCTCAGGTCTTCTTGGATGAATACTGTCCATCCAAAAAACCGCATTTTGAAGACCTCCCCACCCCTACCCAAAAATACATTTATTGTTGTTGCTGTTGATTATTTATTTTACTTTATTTTATTTTATTTTTTCCTTCATGATTTAGTTAATGTCTGCTTCCATCATGCTTGGCAAATTGCAGCCATTGATTCTACATTTGGAAGCATTCAGCGTGTTAAGAAGCTGTGCAACCCATTTGGACCTTTGAGGATCGGTCTGCAGCTCATGGCCAGGAGACAGATTCATGAAGAGCACCTTCTGTGACACATTCATTCTGTGGTTTTGCTACGCAACCAACATTTGTTGGTGTTGGTGTTGGTGTATGGCTTCAATGGGAGCAAACTTGAAGACACTGGTTTTTTTAAACAGGATAAGAAAACTTGCTCATGAGAGCGTAAACTGTACATTTCTTTGTGTGTTATTAAACACTGTCAAAAGCTGAAAATGTGTACATTTTCTAGTTTTCGATTAACCCCAGTGTTCCTCCTAGTAGGTATTAGGGTTTTTCTTTCTTTCTTTTGTGGTATACGTCACTAAGAATGATGTGTACAGCCACTTGTTTATTAGGTGCACATTGATGAGATTCACATCTGCATCATGAAGCTTGGTACCTGAACAAGCTCGAGTGGACAGCCGGTACTTCATAGATAGTGTGAGTCGACATGAGAGGGCTGTAGTACTCTAGTGACGGGAGAGATGTGTGATGAATATTTCTGTGGGTTTGATCAGTCCTCATATCTGTGCGTTCACCTGCAGCTCCAAAACATATATCTCGGTAGCCTTCAACGCTGCAGCTGACATCCTCACGATCTGGCACAGGTTCGAGGGCCAGAGCTTCAATAAAAATCACAGAAGTGGCTATTTATATTTGTCCACCAACGCTGGGTTGTGGGTTCTTAGTTCCGATGCAATGAAGCTGCCTCAACTTGTGATGATGCAAAATGAGTGGAAGCTATGAATTTTTTCTATTTTGGACAGCATTCAAGTGAAGAAATGGTACCTCCTTGATTTCATCGGTTGTGATGATAAGTGGTGGTGAGTACATTATGTTATTCCCTGCGAAGCGTACCAGCATTCCTAAAGCAGTGCACTGCCCTGAGAAGTACTCTCCCACTCCTACAATCCACAGCCGTAGTGAATGCCGGAGATGAAGTAAAACTACATCTGCATCTTGTTTATTTTTCTTTTTCTTTTTATTTGTTTTTATTCATCTAATTTGGAAATAAGAATCAATGAGCAATCTGTGGCTGCAGAATTGGAAGGATCACGTGGCCTACCCCAGTCAACAGGAAAGCTTTCCTTAGTCTCCTTGTTACTAACAAACTCGATTCCAAGAACCAATCCCTCGCCTCTCACCTGCAAAATGGTCCACTTTATCAGAAATATTGTTTAGGGGTTTGCTCAGCTGAAAGAGATTGACGAGCAGTGGGCTTGACCTACCTCTCCAATGATGGAGCTGGAGGCAAACTTCCTCATTTCCGTCTGAAAGATTGCTGCTACTTCGTTGACGTGAGCAAGTATATCTGTCTCCCTGCAAGAGCACAACAGTTACATTCGTGTGCAATATGTGCTGCAGAACATTAGCATTAAAATCAGACTGACAACCTCAACAAAATATGAACTTCTACTGCGTGTAAACCACGTGAGCATACTTGTAAATCCGCAGCGTCTCCAGAGCCACTGCGCATGCCACTGGGTGGCCACCGTATGTAAACCCATGTCCAAATGTACCTGAGAGAAAAAGGATAAAACTAATCAAGGTCGGGGCTAATGAGAACAACTCATTCCTGACCTGCTGGTTAATGAATTGGCACTATAAATCATGATAAGTTAATAAGGAAATTGAATAAGTTCACGCGGAAATAGACACGGTAAATATGTTCCATCTCACCTAATCTATTGCTTTGTTTAGCCAAAACGTCAAATATGTGCTGTCCAAGAAGAACTGCTGATATCGGCATGTATCCAGATGACAGTTGCTGCACCGTAAGCAATAGAGAGCTCAGCTCACCACCAAGGTATCAATGGTACCATCAACATTTATTCAAAAATTCTTGAGTGTTAAAGGAGTATTAACCTTGGCTATTGTGAGAAGATCAGGTTTGATATTATACTTTTCACACGCAAACATAGTTCCAAGTCTTCCGAATGCGCAGATTACCTGCAGATTCATCACAAGGCAGTGACACCATGAGTTAATAAGTCGGCTATAGAATTTTTCATTTACCACCAGAATATGTTTCCTGGTTCCTCTGTAGCTAGATATAATGATGCCAGTTGAATTGAATGCTTGCAAGTTTTACCTCATCTGCAATTAAAAGAACATCGTACTTCTTCAAAATCGGCTGAATTTTGTCCCAATATGTTGCTGGTGGAGGAATGACGCCGCCAGCACCCATTAGGGGTTCTGCAATGAAAGCTGCTATCTGGGATATATCCACATGTATAAAAGCACGTCAGCAACAAACGTATTACCATCCACAATACACAGAAGTAATCAAACACAACTCTCTTGCGATTAAGAAAACCTAACACATGGGAAAGTGTAAAATATCAAAGAAATGAGTGATACACTGAGGTTTGCGTTGAATGAAGAGAAGCATCAGGGGAAGGTCGTACAGTGTCGGGACCTTCTTTCAGTATTAACTTCTCAAGATTGTCTGCCAATCTTGAAGAATAATCTTCTTCGCTCTCATCTGAATCAAAGTATTAGGACTCAGTTTCATCAAGGGGGTTGATGCTCCAAATTTTGAAATCCTACATACTGAAATAGCTAGAATTTTAAATTTTGGAAGAAGATAGGGATAGAAAAACTCAAGGCTGTTACTGAACACAATCTTACTTGGTAGATGATACCGCCAATAGTGAGCACAGTCTGTGTGTAACACGTAACTTGCAGGTAAATCAAAACCGGTGTGAAGGGGAGTCAATCTGTTAAGTGGTCGAAAGCAATTTAGCTTGTTTCGATCTTTAGTGATTTTGTGCTTATCAATTTTGGAACTTTTCTGTGGTTTGAATGTTTAAATCAATCCACAACCAGAAATTAGCATGTTCTCATGTTAAGCAGAAGATTTCATTTGAACACCTCTGTTCTATACTTTTTTGTCCAATGGTATTTTGCGAGAGGGTTTGGTAATGCACCCTGAAAGACTGGCAGCTGACATTGTCGAGCCATGATACCTGGAACAATATTAGATCCTCACGTCTTAACATTTTCAAAAGTAGTACTTCACATATTGAAACCTAAAATAGAGCATTAAAGCATTACAACAGGGTGAAAATTGGCTTGCTTAATCTCATACTCCGCGTTAGAATAATTTCTTTTTCCCGGCAAATCACTTACGATGAGTGACGTGAAATGATTTTCTTCTTTTTCTCTCTTCCTAATGCATTGTTGTAATACCAGGCCAATTTCACCTGCGAGGATAGTTCTCAAATGTATCAATGAAGATATTTCTCGCCGGATTTTGTAAAAGACCAGAAAGACACATAATAGTTTTTACAGAATTGTACAACTATCTCGATTATTCCAAAGAAAGTGTTGATTACACTGTAAAATAATCACCTGAGTATCATTGGCCTCGGAGCCAGTATTACAGAAGAACACTTTACCCATCTTGACAGGCTTGAAGATGTCAATTAGCTCCTTCGCCAAGTCCTGAAAAAATGAAAAGCGGAAATCATGTGGTCAATCACACAACAAGAAAATCACATATAGTAAGAAAAGTAAACTCCATTGTGGAACAGTCACAAAAAAATATCTGATACTAAGTGGGATGAAAACGTGGTTGTGGGCGAGGTTCGAGTACAAGGGGCGGTTGTGATGTCCGGTTCCAAAAGGAATGGTAGAAGGGCAACTGGGTCATCTGATTCCACGCCGCGTTCATAAGCCGTTTTTCACTGAACCCTGCAAGAAAACAAGGCTACCTTTCAATCGAGTAAATTAAAAGCTTCGCTGAATTATTTGGTGCTCTAGAAGACATTCCTTTCCATCGTCTCGTTTTATGTGCCTCTTCTGTGGAAAGCTACAAACGGAAAGGCCGTCGTGTTGGTAAAGGAAAATATCTTTTAAGAGAGTGTAAGTAATTACCCATAGAGGCACACCAAAGGCCCGCCAAAGCATCCAAGTACTTTTTGCCATTGCGATCCCAGACATAGACGCCCTACAACATCACAAGCGTCATTCTGAAGATAGGATCCGCATTCAAACCAACGACAACTGAACCCAAGAGTATTTTTCTCCGAAAGCCGTCACACTACGGAAGTCCCTCATTATTGAAGCACAAAACATGACTGAAAACTTAATATAGCAGAACGTCGAGCTAATCAGTACCTCGCCCTTAGCGATGATCAGAGGCTCAGTTTCCATCTGTTGACTCCCAGATGTAAAAGGCGCGAGCATTGAATGTCCGTGATACATCCTGATCCCCCAAGGAGTACAATCAGAGGCCTCTCAAGATATTCAGATACATAGAGTGGGGCATTAAAATAGCGCACCAGTCTTGTAGTTTGTTATGTATATAGTAACACACACACACACATTTTGTAGTCTTTTGATCTTTAGAATTAAACCCTAGACCATCAAACGTTCAAAGTAACACGTCTTTGTGAGACTAGTAAGGTAACATTATTTGGCTCTAGAATCTGCATTAAACTGCAAATGTAAGAAGAGAAATTACAAAAGTACAGTAAGTGCTGTGACTGCGTGGTTGGGGCGAACTCAGAGGACTCTTACCCCTCATTGTCAAGCGTGTCCTGAACAGGTTTCATTTGAAGCACGTATTCGAATTCTCGTGATTCACATGATTTCTGGACCTCCTCGCGGGTAGAGTTGCATGGATGTGCTGTACCCATGTGTGTACTGTTGATTGAGCATGTGCTACTGAGAGGCGCGCAAGCCATTACGAATTCCTCGTCACACCAAGATGTTGATTCTGCAGATCAACAAAATTTAACCTTTGAAGCCACCAACAACCACTCTGGCAAAGGGCAAACGAATGTATTCAAGCTGCTGATCATCGTTGACAACTAAACTTCGCTAGTTCCACCTTGGCCCAGAGTACGACATCCCGACCCAAAGTACTGTCTTACACAAGACTGCACACCTGCACTCCGGTTCCACGAATTACTAGGAAACGACACATCGACCTATGTCTGCAAGTCATGAGATTCCTAAACAACAGCATTCTGGAGAAGTGGAAACTCATGTACAACTTCATCCACGAGGTAAAAAAAATATACAAGAAAAGCAACTCCTAGCTTCTGCACCCACGGAAAGGAACCAGAGACGCAAAGTTACTCTGCAACACAACTCGGTTCACGAAGAAAAACCAAGCATTCCAGAAACGAGAGCCAGTCAGAGACAACACACGCCGATTCTCGTCATCCCCACCCACCAACCAGAAAGAAAGAAACATGCAGGTCGGTTTCAGGGGAGAGCCTCACAGAATGCATCAAAAAGAATAAAAAAAACTCAACAGTCTCAACCGCTATTCATGAACGTCCACTCTGGAATCTGCCCAGGCAAAACTACACCACCGACAAACGAACGAACGCAAGGCAGCGGAGGTCGCAATCCAGAAATTCACGAGGCTTAGCAACGACGGGTGGGGTTATGAACCGAAAGAGGTGGGGGATGATAATCCTGCACCTGCGAATGAAACCCTACAACACCGCAGCGCAGGCATGGCAATCTCTGGCAATGCGACGCTGCTGCACTGTGCTGGGTGATGGCAGCATTGCTTCTTGCATCCTACGGTGGGTGAGTGAAGCTCAACAATGGGCAAGGGGGCCTGAATCCTACCGCGATTCCCAATTCGGCACGAGCAGGGAGGGGAATCATTCAATCCAATCGCACACCACCTCTCTTTCTGACCTGGTCGTGATGCTTTGCGAGACGGCGTCAATTACGAGGCGCCGTGGGAAAAACAAAACAAAAATTACAAAAGCCCCTCCTTTCCTTCCTGCCACGCTGGACTGCCACGCTGGACCATCGTGGGATGCTCCTGCTGCTCTTGTGTCCTTTTCTGATTCCTTTTTGGACTACTTTTTAGTTGTATTTTTAGTGTTTTTTTAATGGGGTTTTTTTAAGTGGAAGAGGGGGGGGGGATGGGAGAAAAGGGGATTTTGAGAATGAGCTTTGGAGGTTCTGTGTGGGCCATGGGTGTTATTTTATTTTATTTTTTGCTTCATGAGAAAGTCTGTGGTCTTTGTCCACTTTGTTCAAGTCTAACCTTTGTTGCCTTCTTTTTTTACTTGTTCTTCTTATGGAATATAATTTGGGTGGTTTTTGTTTTTTGTTTATTATTTTCGTGGTACAAGGCATCCACGGAAGATAATGAGTGTAGAAAATGAAATCTGGAGAATCTGTGTAGTCCTACTACATGTTAGTAGTTCCTTCTATTGTTGCTGTTTTTTTTTATTATTATTTTTATTTGTAATTTTGAAGATTTAGAGAATTGTGCTCGAAGGATAGTATGAGAAGCTTCTATGAACTTGGTGAAACTTAGTCATGATACTAATATTAGAAAAATAACGTGGTCCATGTATTTGGCCACACTGCCGATATGCTTTCTGGTACAACTTGGACTATAACTACATTAGATTATTAAGTCAAAATGATTCTTTCAAAATGCTAACTTCAATAGCTAAGCTTATTCTTTGAAATATGCATGAATGATTGGCTCTCCTTGTTTTTAAAATTCATGAAAGTTCTTTTATCTTAACATATATTTTCTCTATTTATAGATTTTAGGTTTTTTGATATTTTCTTAATAATTTTTATTTATCTTTATTTTATGATGTATATATACACATCAAAATAATTCTGTAGTTTTATAATAACTCCCTAACTAACTATATGTTTGTATGTATGTGTGTATATATATATATATATATATATATCTATATATACCTATATATAAATTTTTGCATTCAACTATCTCCTCTAGTCTATTGTGAACCATCATAGTTTTAGAGACTTTTAATGTATTATAATATGTTGAAATTTTAATAGTCATTATATATATATATGAAAATAAATATAATATACTTTAAAAAATATTTATCAAAGATACATATTTCAAGTTATTATCATTTGTATGTATATATGTATGTATGTATATGCATATCAATGATAGTTTAAACACAAAATCAATTCATCTCTACTATTTTTATTCTAAAATGTGTGTATATATGTATTACAAATATTAATGCTATATATAAAAACATAATAAAGTAAATCATACTCTCCATAGTATTTATTGTTTTTCTTCTCTTCTTAAATAAAATATTTATCTACATAGTCTTCTAGTATAATATATAAAATAAAAACTTTATTAAAATTGACTAAATCACATGAGTTTTAATATTATTGTTTTCATTTTTTCATTTGACCATGATTTTGTATCAAATCAAAATTCTCCTCTTTCTACAATTTTAGTAATTTTAAATTCATCATTATCACACATCAAATACTACAAAAATGTAGAAACAATTGAAGAAACTTTGATATCTCAGAATTTGAATCAAATCATTAAAAAGCATTTATTTATTTTATGCTTTAAGTTTAGACCAATATAAATTTTGCTCCACATTTGAATTGTAACATTGGAGTATAATGCTCACTAAAAAAAAAACAAATTATAAAAGTGTTAGTAATGCAAAGTTGGTTTCTTTTATTTAAGACCAAGTAATAAAACTAACTTGTCATACGTGAATTTCAACCCTTGATGTTTAGAGTCACAGGAGAGTATAATTGAGGGATGGAGCTAAAATGAGTTTGCTCAAATAATATACCCCGCGTTTAGATTCACGAAGCCAGGTCCCCCTTCCCCGTTGCTTATGATTGCTCTCTCGCTTCAAAGCCCCAGGAGCTCTGTGCTTTCGTGCTTCAAATTGCTCAAATCTGTACATGCTTACACGCCGTAGTATAGCTCTGCTGCACGCCATTTTAGAAGATCCCGTTGTCTGAGTGGCTCGGGTCGGAGAGAGACATTTGGTGCGGATGTGGTGGATGGAAAGAGGGTTAAAGCACGAGTTTGAGTGCAGGAGGACGTCTTGCAGACCGAGATAGTGTGTTGTGAAAGCTGATAATAGTCGTGCCTAGATGAATGGGATCTACAAGAGTTGTGGCCAAGTGCATGTGCCGTGTGAACTTCGTTTTTGGATGAGCATGGTGTGGTGAGTGTTTGTACAGTTGCTGTGCTTGGCTTCATAAGCGTCGTACCTGTCGTTGGATTTATAGTTCTTGTTACTCTGATTTTTCTGTTTCTGGTTGTAAAGCAGTTCAAGATTGCGTTCTGTGTCTCATTGCGTAATCCGTTTTTGGTTGCTGCTTAGTTAAGGTCGCATAGGATGGTGGATTTTGAGGTTTTTTTGGTTTGATTTTTGTGTGATGGTTGTGAAGAGCTTGGGGTTGGCATTATTTGATGACATGAATGGTTATACGGCATCGGTAAATTTCATACCTCCGCTACTCTGTTGGTGAGACTAGTGAATTTGAAAATTACATACTGAATCATCACAAGATGAAGGGAACCATGCTATTTAGAGAAAGTTATACTGCATGAATAATATATTGATTGATTGATTGATTGAATGCATTGTTGTAGGAGAGGATGGTTACATTGGTGAAGCATTGTTTGGATAGTGGTATTACTGATTTATTATAAAATGGATAATTATGTTGATATTATAGAGAATTTTGTAACAGAAGTATGTAAAAGTATTGCCAGAAGTTGCTAGATGATATCTTTTATTAGTAGAGTTATGTAGTAATTAAACATGTTATCTTTTCATTTTAGAAATTATAAATGAAGATGAAATTTGAACACCTAGATTTTAACACCTTGAAAATTATAAGATATTCTTTTTATGCTTTTATATAAAAATTATTCCTAAATATATAGTAGTTTTTGAAGAATACACTTTGTTCTTTTTTAATTGTAAATATTCAAAATGGTTGTTGATTTTATTGTAAATAACTCTAATAAGTTATAAAACTTAAGCACTTATATAAATTAAATTCAATCAAATGTATAAGATTTTCCAATTCTCTTAGAAATGATGTTAAACTTAAGCATCCATTAAAATTAAGTTTAACCAAATATATAATTTTTTTTTTAATTTAATTGGCAATGATATCAAAATCAAATATTTACATAGATTAATTGGCAATGATAGCAAACTTAAACATTTACATAGACTAATAGGCAACAATATCAAAACTTGGACAATATAGGATTTAAGTTCCAATATTCTTAAATAATCTTTATTACTTCATCAAATTGTAAAAAAAATTTGTTTTTTATTTTATTTTTATTTTTTATAATTAAATTTTTTCATTATTTATTTGTTTATTTATTTATTACATACCTCTCCAAACTTATTTGCATTATTTTTCATTGAGTAAAAAATTAATAAAGTTGGGATAGGTTAGACTAACTAAGATATTGTCTTCTTTGATAAAAAGATCATTGTAACTAATATCCATTGTTTTAGTTGCAATATACAATCCCTAATACTTTGATTTATAAACTTTTCTAAAATCTCTATTATTTATAATTGAATTTATTTGTAACTTTTTATATAAATAGAAAGTTTTGTAACATTTAGCTTTCTACCTTCCTTGTGGAAAATATTTTTTATTCTTTGAAATTGATGATTAATTAATTTTAAGTAGTTGCAATGAATATCTTAATTTGCATCATTTAATCTCTTATAGAGACTTTTATCATCATTCTCTACTTCATTAAAGATTGCAACATTTATAGAAATAGATATAATACCTCTATACTTATTAAAATTTTGCCGCAAAATTATATTTTTGGCTATATCATAATACTTCAATTTTAAATATAATTCTCTAAAATATTATTAAATAATAGATAGTCTTTTAAAATATATATTTTTTTTACTTATAAGAACCATTCAAAAAATTATATTACATAACAAAAACTTTATTAAAAATATGATAAATTTTTAAAAAAAATCTACATACACATACTTGCAACAATCCACATATAAAGATTATATCGAACTTTATTTATTCTAAGACATTTTATACAAAAAATATACTCATTTATTCAATATTCCCTAATAAATCATTATTTTAGATGTTACAATATCTATTTGCAAATCTTCTTAATATTATAATAAAATAATATTGATATATTATGACATACCAATTTATAGTTTATAATCACATTTACTAACAATGCAATGCTCTTTTTATTAAATATAAATTATTACATCTAACATGTGTCAAATATATTTTATATGACTAATTTTGGTATTTATATGGTTGTTTTAAATTGGATGATATTTACTTTTAAAAATATATATATATCCAAAGAACTAAGTATAAAAATTAATACTCTATTTTAGAATAAATTTTATAATTGATGCATTACTAAATATATAAATTCAAATTCAAAATCAAAATTCACAAGTAATATATCTTAAGTCAACATTTATCGATTAATATTCTTCAATTTTAATGATTATTTTTATCATTTAAATTTTACCATCTAAAACTAATAAATTAATAAATTCAAATTTAAAATAACTTGCAAATTCAAAATCATTCTTGCACCTTATAATTTTTTGATTTTATTAATATGTAATTTTGCTGCAAAAAATAGTAAATTCAAAATTCAAAAATTAATCTTATAATCTTTCAAGCCCTACAAAATCTTACTCAAATTCTTCATAATGGCTTTTTAAGGTGGTAAACTTATTTTTACCAAAATCTTAAAAATATGCCCTAAAACTTTGTAAAAACCAAAAAAAATATATTATATTTTTATACTAATAATTTTAATTTAAGCTTACTATTTTTTATGTTGATGATTTTTTTATAAAAATAGAATCAATTTAAATCAACAAAAAATCGTATATTTTTATATTAATAATTAAAAAGATATGAGATTATTTTTTATGTTTTTTCTACCTACTAACAAACATTTATATATTTTTAATAAATAACACATGTAGATAGAATACATTAGAAATGTTGCATCAAAAGTAAATCAATGAACTTACTAGATATCCATTTGTAGCTTGTGGTCTTTTTTTCAATCCCCTACAATCTTGTATTATAATATGAAATAAATACTTTGTATCTAATTCTACTAAGGGAAGTTAGGATTTTTTATATTTGTTAACCTAGAATATTTTTTAGACTTGTCAACAATCAAAAGCAATAAAGATTTTTTTATATCATGGACAACAAATATATCCAATTAATTGTTGCATAGCCTCTAAATCTTGACAATCAATAATATTACTTTCACCATAAATTATCAAAAATGTTGTTGGTTTACATTCTAAATTTAAATTATGTTCTTGAAATTCTGAGAATATGTAAGAAAAAATTAAATATTTACTAAGAATATTGAATTAATTATAGTACAAGCACAATTCTACGTTAGACTATTTTTTTTACATACTACTATAAGATTTTATCAATAAAATCAATAGTAGGAAGTTTAATTTTAATTTAATACATTGATTATAGTTACTTATCATACTTGAAGATAATTCCTTTACCTTTTATAATGTAATTCAAGTAGTAAACTTTGGCATCAAAGTTTGCTTCAAAAAGAATGTGCTTTACTATAACTTTGTTAATTATTAATATTATATCAATTCTTTGGCAATAAAATTTATCCTTCAATCTAAATTATCATAAATTTATGATAGTTTACTACGTAAATTAATTTATATTAGAATAATTTATGATAATTTTAAAATAGAATGAAAATGGTAAAAAAATTGAGTGAATATATTTAACCTTTAAAAAATTGCTTAAGAGATTAGAGATTTAAGTCTCATAAGTAGTGTATATAAGTGTTTTAAACAAGCCATGTGGCCTTAGTCTTATCTTTCTACCTACATTCAAGGTGCTACAATCCGTATAGAACATGTTCACATTTTTCTTTACAATTACTACATTAGTTGCTAGTCCTCCTATTTTCTACTAGTAAAATTATTTATTTTAAAATTAAAAATTTATCATTGTGCTAAAAAAATCCAATTAGCATAGAAATCTTACATGGGTTTTAAATATTTTTTAATTTCTTCATAATAGCCTCCTAAGGTGGTAAAATAATTTTTATTAAAATCTTAAAAGATTTCTTCAAAAATTTCTAAAAATATCTAAATAAATTATTAATAAATTTTATATAATATATTATTATAATATAATAATAAAATAATACTAATATCAATTTAAAATTACTTTACTTATTTTGGTAAATTTTTGTAGTAACAAAATTAATATAAATCAACTAAAAATTATATTTTTTACATAACTAAAAAGAAATGAGGTTCTTTTTCATCTTTTTTCTACCTACTAACTAAAATTTATAGGTTTTTCTTTTTATAAATAATACATATAAATAAAAAAATTAGTGTAGACATTGATTTTAAAAACTATTCACTAATTCTTACAATGCTGGTCTATAAGTCTCAATTCTTGCAATGCTGGTCTATAAGTCTAGGTTGGACTGTGGGGAGGATTTTGGAAGTGATTTCTCATTAGATCGCAGAAATGATCTCATCGGTGCCTTCGGGTTCTTTCCTTCAAAGACAATCTAGATAACTCCATTATAAATGCGTTCGACGTGTTGTGGTCACTGACTTATTTGTCTTCATTTACTAGTGCCCCTAATCCATTTCCGCCTTGTTGATTTACAGTCTCATGAGTAAAGGTGAGAACCTCAGATCAGGTTTCCATCTTGATATTTCGTCACTTCCCAAGGAATGAAGAGCTAGCAAAAACAATTCTTTGATTTTGTGAGGTGTAGACACGGATTAGTATTTAATTGTTGTGCTTATGGGATGGTCTTGCTGGATGTCATAGAATCCTCAGATCTTACTCGGCGAAAATTTATTTTGTGATTGTATGAATGCATGGTATTAGTGTAATGGAACACTATCCAATTCGAGGACTAAGGGCGTGAAAGACACTCCAAGGGTAGGATCAAATCGCAAGGAAATGTGATTGTGCGCTTGCAAGTGAGAATGGTTACATTCGTTCAAAGTTGTGTCTGAATACGAGCCAACAATGGTTTTGATATCAGTGTTTGAGAACAGCGTACAACACGAGGATTGAATGGGATTTTTTAGGCCTCGAGGCAGCAAGAAATAATGTCCGTAGCACTTCAAAGCTTGATGAGAACTGTAGATCAGGTTTCAAAAGTATCGAACTAATATCATGAACTATACATAAGCTTCTCTAGCTTCGTGAGTTATATCATTTATTGATTGACGTTCAGATTTTAATGTTTAGGCATCTAGAACTTGTTTGAAGTTCAAAAAGTTTTTGCTTTTTTGTGCATTGTAGACAGGATCAAATGGCTTTTCCTCGTCGGAATGTAATGCTATCTTGTGTATGGAGGATGGAATTCAAAACCGAAGAATAAAATGACAGTTTAAAGTCACATAGCCTTTTGCATGTGTGGTCAACTTATAATTGGAAAACTTATCACTGATATTGGTGCTTAGTAGATCAACTTTTTAACTCACAATGTATAACATTGAATGTAACTTGGAAGAAGACTTACTTAGAATCAGTTAAGTGTTTACATTTCTTTAATAAAAATTTAAAAATACATTGTTCTAAAATTAAATGTATGGCAATTTTTTGTATGATTTATTAGTTTTCTTTTGTAAGTATATTTCAATCAATACCACCATAAGATTGATCAATTTTCTTCTATATTTTACTTTGACTATATTGAAATATTGGTTTTATTATTATTATTATGATTATTATTAATAATAATTGATTTTGTTCGTACTTAACATTATTAATGACATCATTTTCTTTATTGACAATTCTTTGTAAAAACAACTTGAGCATGATCTTCCAAGAATTCTTCTTTATTTTGTACTACTCTATGTAGATTATTATCATTTTTGTTTTTCTTTTTCTTTTTTATTTAATGATATATCTAGTCATCTTTATAATCTACTAAACTTGCTTGAACGCTTTTATCATTTTCATCAAAATGAACAAATGCTTCAGAAGTAGTATTGCTTCCAAGAAATTAAAGAGGATTTTTTAATTGCCATTGATTAATTTTTTCTTGTGATACCATCACGTTTTCAACAAAATCCCTTCTATTTTCACAATCCAAAACACTTTCCAATGGGCTAGATGCCCTTAGTTCCAATTGTTCCTTTTTATTGATTATTGTTGGTTTTGTGTGCGTGGTAGATAGCCATTGATCAAATTGTTGAGTTTTCTTCAAACGTGGTAATGACCCAACAATGTCTTTACTAATATTTTTGCATTGATTAAGTGACTTCTGTCCTATCAAAAGCATTATATTTCTAGATGGGTTTTTAGAGATGGCAATGGCCGCCAAAGCAGCCATACGTGCATCCCGTTGGGCCTTTTTGCATTTATCAACTTTCGTAGTTTCTTCATTTTTTGATTTTTTCTCTTGGTTATGTTCTTTTTGGACTTTGGCAATGGTTTCTTTTACCTTCATATCAAATGAATGACTAAAAATAGATTGTGCTCCATCCAAAAATTTATTATATAAATCTTGCTTCTTTTTATCATGTGATGGATATATGCACTCGTATTTACCCATATTCTTTGCTTCGTGGTCTTCAAAGTCATGGTTTAAATGGAAAACCACTTGGTTGAGTTTTGAGGTGTGTTTGGGCTTGTCCATTGCAATTGGGAGGGGAGGTGATTTTCCATATAAGCGCATTTGGGCACCTTTTTTATCCTATACATTACTTCATATTAAAAATAGCTTGAGTTTATTACATATAAACAATAGACTTGATAAAGCTTTATTGTTTATTTATTCAAGTAAACTGATCTGATTTAACTGGTTGTTAAAATAGAATGAAAAGAAACCCTGAATTTTACGTACTGATTAGTGATGCATAAATGAAAAGATAAAAGATAAAACCTGTTGTCTTAATTTAGAAATTCCCTGAGGATCCATTTGAACCAACTTTAAAGTGTCAGTGATTAGGCTTTCCTTTACTTTGAGATCTAAAGGAGTGTCAATAGAAAAAGATGGTGAATGATTGACCTGTTTCCAAACCCTTGTTGATTCATTAATACTTTACATATTATATGTTTTAATTAATAAATAAAACCCAAACACAGCTTCACACACATACCTCTTTAATTTCCTCTTAGATTTCTATATAGGCACATACACAATCACTTACTAAGAGGAAGAGATTGAAATTCAGACGTCATTAACTCAAACTATTCAACATTCAATAAAATAAATACATTTGCATGCACAGGTATCAAATTTGTATCAATGCTTCACAAATATTGGATTTTGTTATGGTTTTAGAATAGTTACATGAAATAATTGTTTAGAAAACAATACCTCTAATAACCATGGAATACATCTATGGTCAATGAGAACATCCATCCCGAGGAGTTCAAAACACGATTGTCCATTATCATCTCCCACATAAGTCTTATAATTATGTTGAAGGAGTGGCACAATGGCAAGAATGGTCATCACCACAATGTGGCATATTTTTTGGTGAAGTATTGTTGTGTCAAAACCTTGAATTGACAATGTCTTGAACAAAGATGTTAATGTCCACTTATGACCCTTGCTTGTCTCATTTTCATTTGTATTGAAACAAAAGTTGGGATTGTATTTGTTCACCGCATAATTGGTCAAATGCATGCAATTTTTTGATAAATTTTCTGGCCCAGGTTTTTGATACCTTTCCGTACAAAAACGTGCAATTCCTTCCCTATATTAACAAAAAGTTTTTATGTGCTCATGAAAACCGTTTTTCTCATTTAATACAATAGTGTGTTTTTCACTTCATTACTCCAAAAAAAAAAAAAAAAAAAAAAAAAAAAATCTATACATATATATATATATATATATAGAAATGTTGTTATTACTAAATATTACATCCATCCATCCATCCATCCATCCATCCATCTAATCTCAACATCACTGATATTAAAAAAAACAAACAAAACACAAAGATTTATATATACAACAAGATAAGTAAAAAAAACGAAAAAGAAACTAAAGAACTAACAAAAAATGTGATGGAAAAAAAGTAAGGTCAAACAAACAAAGATGAAAAAAATTATTGTGTTGTTTAAAAAAGGAAAAAAGGACCTGTAGAGGTAAAGGCGAAGAGGATCACATGAAAGGATGAGCACGTAGATGCGGAGGTCAAACTTGAAACCATTGATGAGCATGGGCTTGGTTATGTATTTCTGCGCCACGAGGTTAGAGCCGGGGAATCCATCCATGGCTTGCCGCACATCTCTCACACTTTGTGCTAACACCACTCCTCTGCCCTATATATATAGTAATATTTTAATACATAGATAGACATATGCATTTCAATAGATAGATAGATAGATAGATAGATAGATATGAAATTGAATAAATTTAAATGAGATTGGTTCAATGATAGAGAAGCAAAGAGGATAGCGGTGATGTGAAGTTGCTCACTTGGCTACCATTGTCAGGTTTAAGAATGAAGGTCTTCACTTTGGACCGGCTAAAGCAATTTAATAGATTGGATAATTGATTGGGTAGGATGAATGCTTGCGGAAAGAACATGTAGTCAGCCGGGAAGAGCCTTCTCATATCCAGTATTACAAAAAAAAACAATGCATCAAAGATTGGGATGGAACAACCCAACACTTCTTTTATGTAATAATGTTTAATTTTTTATAAGTAAATCAGTGGAGGATTTCCATATCAAAGTTTTATATATATAGATAGATATAGTTTTTATAATCATGAAATATTGTGTGAAGTGTGTGTGAAATGAACAGTATTGAGTGGGCTAAGTGTGAAAGAAGAAGAAGTAGGTTTATACTTGCGCATTGTTGAAAGGCTGCAAAACAATGATTTTTTTCTGCATATTGCAAGCATTCCATGAAAATGATTGATTTTTTGTCCCTTATTCAATTTCATAAGCTTGTCAGGACCCACTGATAAATCTGAAAAGTTCATATGTGTGTATATATGTATACATGTGTGTGTATGGATATGCCAGTAAGAACATCACATGTTCTGAAGCAATTATTTATTATATAAGAAAACTTTCAATAATCCTTTAAAAAACAATCCTACCATAAATACATATGCACTTGAATATTAAAATATCAAGCTTAATTGTAAGAAAAATAAAATTATTTCTGAAAATAAATAACTTTTTGAGGGTTTTACTGCTTGAGATATTAATCCTTAAAATGAAAAAAATGATAAAAAAAAATATAAAACTAAATTGGTTCAGAATTATTAGAAAGTGATAACCAAATCACGTAAAATAAAGAATGGTTTAAAGGAGTTGCAGGTTACCAGTCCAAATGAGATGGCATCTTTTGTCATCTTCTTGACCTTCTTCCCAACCATTCTTCTCAAGAACAATACGAAGGACTTCATATTTACAATTGGAAAGATCAACAAGTGGAACATCATTCTTCTTGCTCTTTCTTCTTCCGCTCTTACTACTTGTTTTCTTTATTCCATTTTTCTAATTGTTTTTTAAATTCAACAAGAAGGTATTCTTTAAACAAAACTATCAAAAATCTAACTTTGTTAATCTAAAAATAATTTTGAATCCGTTATTGAGTTTGAAGCAATTTTTATCAGAACCGGTTTCATCAGAGGGTTTAATGACCCTATGAGTTATTCATTATGCAAAGATTTATATGAATATATATATATATATATATATATAACAAAGAGCTCACCCCTGTAAAAATGGACACTCCCAAAGAGAACAAATCTCCATATTTTGGTGCATTTCTTTTGTTGGTCTGTTGCATTTTTTGCAATATTCTTGAAATGCTCTGTAATGAAATGCATCATCTGATATTCAAGTTAATGTTGTGAATTATTTCAACATCATATTTTACATGCAATGATAGATTGGTGACTTAATCTTTGAATTTATTAAAAATATGTTTAATATGTATTTAATGTGTTAGAAAATAAATCATTCCATTTTTTCTTTAAGGAATGCACACAATAAACAGCACATTCATTCAGAATCTAAACACATTGGTTTTAAATTCTGTGAGTAAAATTTTGTGTAACATATAAGCACTTGATACTTCAAAATACTCCTTAAACCTTGGGAATTTATTTCTCTCTGTTTGTATTTTTATATTATGCACTATACATTAGAAATTATTCTTTATAAAAACAAAAGAAAAAAATTATATTCCTACACGAATTTACTACAGCAATTTTTAATATTAAAATAATTTTAGGGTTTTGTGTGCTTTATTTTTTAAAATATTTAAACACTGCAATTCTTTTGTAAAAATATCAATAAGTAATAACATTTGATAATTTTTTTATTACTGTGATTATAATAAATCTGATCAATAATTATTAGTGAAGTATTAAATTTACAAATTACTGAAAAATACTTGTAAATCCTTACAAAAAATTATTTTGAGCTGTTTGACTAAATCTGTAATGGAGACACATTTTTATCCAAAAAGATACAAGTATAATTTTTTAACTGTTCTTAGTTCATTAAAATCTGATATCAAACTCTTATTCCCTCAAAATTTTCAAATTTATTCTAATTTTATTGGATTTCAATATGTAACACCTTTTTGTTTTAAACATTTTTTTTGGTTTAGATGCCACAATAAGTTGTTTTTAATATCTGTACGTTATTTTTATAAATAAATTGAAATTTAGAAGTTAGAATGGAAATGAAATTATGCAACCCTGAATCATGAATTATACTACTTTCATTTCAAGCTGAAGTTCAAAAATTTACTACACAACAATAACAAAATTTGCTTATTGGTGTAATATATAGTCATTAATGTTTTTAGAAGAATGTTTAATACATATTTATGAAAAGAAATTATGCCAAGTATAAAATTATTTAAATCTGATTATGAACACACCCACCTCCAAATCACCTTGTTTTGTATTCATTTAATTGTCTTTCCTTCTTTTTGATATTATCCTCATTTGTATTATTAGCAATATCAATTTTTGGATACAAAAATTATAATTTACATAATAAATTCATTATTAAGATCATTCAATATACAATGTGAACATCAAGAAAACTAAAAATTTAAATATAAATTTAAATATTCATTTCATCTAAAAACATTACTGAATCTAGATTATTATTTTACTCTCATTTCGTGCATTGTGCCTAAAAATATAAATTATAAAATGTCTTAAATAATCTAAAAAAAATATTTGGAAAAAAAAAATTATAAGATTTAATTTCAACTGAAAATTCATATCAAACATAGAAATTGGGATTTTTGAATTTGTTACTTCTTCTTGCAATCCTCAACTAAAAAATTTGGACATAAATTTTCTACTAATTACATAATAATTTTTGTTGATTTTATATACATATATATATATATATATATATATATATATATAACCATTTTTTTAGATTGCATTTAAAAATATGTGAATATATATATATATATATATATATATATATAATTCTTTAATTTTAAATTACTAAAATTATTAAAACATAATATTAGGTCTAAACTAAATTAAATGTATACTACACTCTATACTTAAATTTACTATTAGGTCTAAATTATACTAAATATATAATTTAATTTGCTGGATTAATATTATATTTAACTTAAATGAAATATAAATTACTTATCTAGAAATATATATATAATCTTTTTATACAATTATAAAAATAGATCACTTAATTTAAGAAAGAAATAATTAACAAAAAAATCATGTAAAAATAAAAAAAAAATACATTAAATTAAAGAATAATAATGATTCAACTAAAAGTAATATTAGAAGTTAGTACACACTTTTATCAAAGTATAGATTTAGGATGTGGTTAATTTCATTGAAGTTTTTTCTATTGCCACTACTATCCACTACATGCCATTATAATTTTGCTACTACCACCATAAACTTTTATTTATTTATTAATTTATTTATTATTTTATGTTAAATTTAAATTCAATATCTATTTTAATATATACTTATATATAGTAAAAATATTAATAGATATTATTTTAGAATAAAAAAATTAATGAAATATGTTCAAAGAGTGACAAGTTGTAGTGGTTGTAGAAAAACTTATGGTGACATGTAATAGATGGCAAATGATGGTGGCCTAGCAAAATTGTGGTACCATAAGTAACACCCTTGATATGATAATTTTTATAATTAAAATTAACAATAATTAGAAAAAAAATTAATATTTAAGTTTAAAAAAGTATTTACAATGACTATTATTAAATTATTAGTATATTTTTATATCTTTAAGTTGTAATAATTTTGATCTTAACTATTCAAATTTATATAAAATATTCATTTAAAAATATATATTAAATTATACAAGATTTATAACTTCAATTTTATTTTCTCCTTATAGAAATTTTTATTATTTGAAAATAATGAGCAAAAATATTTAAGATTAATAGACCTTTTTATTCCTCAAAATCGACAATTTTTCTGAATTTTGCTAGGAGGCATGATATGGTGTAAGATTTATAACTTGATGTCATTTGTCTTCTAAGATTTAGAAATCATGTTAATAAATAATATTCAAATATATTCTATAATTTTTTTATAATTTAATTCGAGAAGAATGGATCAAAATTAAAAAATTAAAAATATAGAAATAAATTATAGCTAATAATTTCGATTCAATGATATTTTATTTTATTTTTTAATTATAACCAAGATACATTTAATTTTAATAGTTCAGATACATTTAATTTTAATACTAATAAAGATTCTATATTCTATTATTAGATAAATTTTATTCTTTAATTATTTATAAAAAATCAAAATCATTTTAGTTTTGATCCTATTTACTTTTGTAGTAGCTCAATGTAAAAAAATAACAATAATTAAATACTTTAATATATTTACTAATACAATGATGTATTAGTTTTTATAAAAATAAAAATAAAATTATAATAATAATAATTATATGTTGTTTAAAATTTAAAATTTTTAAACCAATACATATATATATATTAAATTTTTATTAAAAATATATATTAAATATATATAATATATATTAAAATTTTAAACATATACTCATTATATAAAAATAAAAATAAACTAAAATTGTAGCAATTGCCAATAAAGTGTGTGATTTGAATTTATTTTATGTTACATTTGTGCTAAATTTAGATTATTTAGTTAATTTGTATAATTATTTTTTATATATTTAAATCATAGAAATATTCTACCAATGAGTTTTTTTATTTTTTGTACCGATATTTTGAATATTAATTTTAGTATATAATTTATAATTATCTAGGTATATATAATATTTTTAGTAGAATAATATAGTATAATCCAAGTAATATCTTATGAAAATATAAAAACATTCTTATGCTAATTATATTTAATAAAAAATATTAATTAAATTTATATTATTAAATAATTTATAACTATGCATAGTTAGAAAAAATTGATCTTCTTATATAAATGTTGCAACAACTTTGAATATGGTAATGTTTAAAGAAATAGGATATAATATATTACAAAAAAAAAATTGCCTAGAAAAAGTATTTTGGCTTACTCATTAAATAATTACAAAACCAAATAATATATCTAAAGTAGGTTGATTTTTAAAATCCAAATTTAGTTAAGTAATCTACATATCAACTTCACAACCTTATATACAACATAATAGATAGTAAATTTTCTATGTTATAAGAGATAGAATTTAATAACTCAATTACATCAACTATTTTCTCACAAGAACAAGTAATGGGTGTGGACAGCAAACAATTACATTCAAATATTATAACCACATAATTATGGCTGAGATACAAGAAGGCTTATAATGTAGATAAAAACAAGATTTCATAGAGGAATTAAATAGACTAATGATAGCCTCAATATTTTCCTTATATATACTATTTATAAAGTGAAATACTTGTAGTATAAGCTTCTAATTTCTTACCACCAAAACTATTCAAAATTTCTCTTAAAATATCTTTTTAAATACTACTAAAAATAATTTTTTAAGAATTCTTTATAGTCTAGTTTGAAGAATTAAAAATAGTATCTTTTAAATACTACTAAAAATAAGTTTGAAGAAATTTTTTCAATCAAGCTATTAAAACAAATCTTTCTAACAAATCTTTCTAGTAAGTCTTTACTTCCAAGTTTATTATTAAAAGATTCTAGAAAGTTTCTTCAAAGATTTAAAAAAATGACGGAGTTATTTTCATTTAGACCAAGTTATGCCAAAATATAAATATCAGTAAAAGGAATTTTAAATTCTATTAACAGAGAACTTCGAAAATATTTTTATAGACACCAACTTTTGATTAGAATACAAAAAATACATAATTGATTTATACAAACTATCTTTTATTTAGTAATCTTCTCTTAAAATATAAATTCACAAGTTTCAACATCTAAAAAAATAAAAAGTAAAAGTAAAAAAGTATCGTACATGTGAGTGTTTTAATTCTGTTTACAGAATTGATTTCTTTTCCTTTTCTTTTGTTCGACCCATCAATAAGTTATTCTCAACAATCAATCCACACTCAGTTCATTATTCAAACTTAGTACATCTTTCAACCATACTCTACAAGCCACTGCTGACCATTACCAACCTATTATTATGATCAAATACAATACCAATCAATACCCACTTATCACCAACTCTCATCAACATCTACTCCTTATTCCAATATTCAACTATCACATTTAAAACCACTAAACCATAGTTTTCATATAACAATTGCATTAAAAGCATGACTTGCAACTGCTGTTGTTTCCATCATTAATGCTCAGGCAGGTTCTAATATTTTGCAAACTATCTCCTAATTGACAGCAGAATTTAAAATGACAAGGGCCCTCTCACATTTACATGGTCCCTTCAAGCTGTTCTTCTGCACCACCGCAAAAAATTGCTAGAATCTAGATGATCAGGAATAGTTTCTCAAGTCTTTTCTTTGACAAGGAAGAGAAGCTAAAATGAGCACTAGAGCCCTGCTTGCCCTGTCTCAAACGCAATCCTCACACGCATTTCTCTGCTGGCTCCATTGTCCTTACTACGTGGGCTGTTGTTGATCCCCTCCTTTGCATGAACCTGCACAATAGCTGGGAGCCATGCCCATATCCTTGCAGTATGTGTCTCTTCCTCCCCCACGTCTTGTTCACATTTTGCTGCAACAACCCACCATTCTAAACACAGAACGTTCAACCCAGCCATCTCTTTTCATCGAAGCCCTTTTCAACGTGATCGACAGTCTTGGTTCTTGTGATGAGATTCTTGTATCCTGTCTAGACAAACTATAAATTGTAAGGCAAAACACACTCGGTAGTGTCACCGTGAGTTTTCTTGCCTTGGGATTGTGGTATGTTGTCAATGAAAAAAGTGCATAAATTCGTCACATTGTTTATCTACTGTCTGCGATGTAGTTTGGACGTGAACTCTATTGTTTGGCCAACGTCTCGGAGTTGCGATGCTCACGCAAGTCGGCTGCCAACAATCGTGGTTCCCAGATGTGAACCCATCCAGCAGGTAATAATAAACTATCTGCATGATCCATGATAGTGTGGACCTCAAACGTGTGCGTTGTGTCGATTTGGACGTAGAACAATGTTTTGTAGAAGCCGACTTCTCACTGATGTGCAAACAATAGGAGGCCATGCGACAGGTCTGTGAGGACTTGGACGAAAGGAGTGGCTGACGTGATGGCTGCACATGCACTGACGGGATGGACCAGCATCTGAATAAGTTTAGAATATTGTTCCCACGAAGGAAATCATTCAGCGAGACCTCGATCTGTAATCCTGGTTGCGTCATCAGCATAGTCAAGAAGTGCACAACAAAAAACTACGTATAATTTCAACACCAGCCTTAGGCAAACGATACTACCGATGCGAAAGCAGTACCTCCAACATAACCTACTTGCTGTTGCACAATAGGAAGGCCAATGCAGCAATCCATCCATGTAAACTAAGAAATGAAGAGATAACAAGAAACTGCTGAGTAACTCAAGAATTAATCCTTCGAATATGCGTCTCCATTAGTACGGCAGACCTCGTGGCCGAGACAGCCCAGGTCACCTTCAAGTAATGAAGGCACATAGAAAATAATTCAATCAACAAAGTTGTTCAATCATAGCGAGATCGTCCAATTCATCTGAGTTCGTAACTGGAGCATTTTCTGAATACAGCTATTGCTTGGGAGCCGAGGTCTGACACGGACCCACAAGAAACCCTAGGACGTGAATGTGGCACTTATTCAGGTCACTGGTAGCGTCTACTACCGCTGCGCATCGTGCAATTTATCACCAAAACAGGAGACTTCTTGGGTTCCTGCAGTGAAACAAGAAAATAAAAAGAGGTGCACTATTGATAACACAGCATTGTGATGAAGAGATAGCACCGAATTTTCACACGAATGACCTGATAACCTTCTATGTAAAGTAGCCACATATTCTGTGTCCCACTTGCAGCGAAATATCACTGAGCACGTAAACCTCGACCCAAATCGTACTCGTCACACACCCAGACCGTCGTGCAATTTTCCACCATGTACTTGAATGGATACACAACAACAATTCTCCAGCGACACTGAACCTATCCAGCTGCAGTCCTTGATCTAACTACCTGCAGTCACTGGCTTAATCATTTGTCTGACACCCTACGCCAGTTGCGGGTGCTTCCATGATGGCCACCCTCCATGAAAGACTCTTCACGGAGTCGCACAGCCACAATTCATGAATCATCAATTGCCTATTCCAACTATAAACCATGGCCCCTTCCACGCTCCCGACTTCTGCGCCTGTGACTCCGAGACACTATGCTCCCTCCCAGATTCTCGTTGTTCCCAGATGAGTTGCCAGTCAATCTGTTCGCACTGTTACCTTGAGCCGGCTCTCCCCATAAAGTGCTGCGCGCCGCACTACTTCGAGGTGTATGGTACCGACCCCGCACCAAAGATGGCGGGCCTCTTCCCCCGGCCATCGATGCTGCTGGACCAAACACTTGGAACAGCAGGAACACCGTCCACCAATTCCCATCATCCCCCGGAAAATCATTCTCGTCCCCCTCCTCATCGTCCCCTTCACCATCGCCATCAATCACATAATCTCCCAGCACAGTCGCGCCAGGCATGGTTGACTGTATCGTACTCAGTACATCCCCTAGATCGCGCTGCCGCTCCAGCTGAATCCAACGATCTTGTCGAGTGCGGTCAATCTCCGACGGCCTGGCTAATGGGTGTGTGCATCGAGCGTGTTTCCGAAGTTCTTCGTACGGCCCGCTGAAGTTGCATGACTCTTGAGCACATGACCTCAGCTTCTGATTCAGGTGTGAGCGGGCAGCCTCCACCACTTTCCATCCCTTCACTTTTCCTCTACAGAGGGGACATAAAAGCTCACCTGCATCCGGGTCTTCTGCTGGCACGACGGTGTTAGTGTTGTCCGTCTCGTTGCTTGCCCCCGCAGACGACTGGCCCGAAGTACCATCTCTCACATCACCCACTTCCACGGATGCCTCCCGTCTGTAGTCCACACCGCCACTCTCTCCTAGACTTCTCACAACACGCCCTAGGGCAGGCCCCAAGCCTCTTTCGCCCTCGAAATCATCCACCCTATTCACAACTGCTTGTTCGGTTACTGAAACATCTGCTTCCCCAACGCTAGCCAAAGGTAGTGTATCACGGAGTTCGTGAGCCTTCCTATACTGATCCAGGCAATTTGAGTGCCGGTAACTCGTATCACACATGTAAGGGCGACAACCCTTAGCATAAGAACTGCAAATCAACAGAACAGCATTGTGTGGATGTTCCATGCATACGGGACATGTTGCTTCTTCCCACTCTTTTCTCTCTACAGAATCTTCACCTTCCGTAGAAGAGCTTTCTTGTGCCCCGCTCTGCCCATATCTAGAGTACGGCTTATACCGCAAACTCTGTGAACCGGACGACAAACGCGACAGGTTACGAGACTCCTTCGGCATCCTACACTATTTACAGTTCCACGGAACACAAAAGTCAGCATCTTCCTTCGTTAGATATCCGGATCATAAACCAACCACCTGACCCCACAGACATTCACTACACATGTGCATTAGGTCCACATGTTCACACAGTAGTCCGCATCTTCCCATTCGGAAGCACGGTC